GCCTGTAGTAGTATAAGTAATATTTTATACTTTTATATTAACAAACATTTTACTCAATTACAATACTTATTTTTTTTTGAGAATATTCATTTTTATTAGTTAGATTTTGAAACTTATATTTTATTATAAAATAAAAAAAAATAATATAAACAAAAATAGACAAAAAAAAAAAAAAAAAGATAAAACAAATAATAATAAAAAAAAATAATATATATATTAAAAACCAACACCTAACAACCTATCCCTATTATTATTATCTCCCTCCCTTCTTCTTTCTTCTGCCCTCAATCTTCTCAATTCCTCTTTATCATTTGTCAACTAAGTCCTCAACTAATTTCATTTCTCCAACAACTGATTATATTATTGTTCCAACATCCAACTGTCCTGAATTCTTGTGACTGCATTCGCTCTCAATTCTTCTAATTTCATCTCTAAGCTCTCTATTCTTCTTCTTAACGAGATCACCAATCGATTCAAACTATAACCAAGTTTTATTAAGGAACAAAAAAAAAAAAAAAAAAAAAAAGAGAAAATAAGAAATATTTACCACCTGTTCTCAACTTGAACCACCTCTAAAGCCTCATACAAGGCATTGTTACCACTTCGGCAAGCACAATGAACATTTCCAGAAAGATTTTAGCAAGATATTATTATTGTTATTATTGTTGTTGTTGATATTGTTGAGATTGTTGTTGAAAAATTTTACAAAAAAAAAAAAGAGGAACAACAAAAGGATTATAATTTTTAATGAACAATAATGAAACCAAAATTAGATACCAATAAGAAGTTAATCTACCAAATTTGGAAATCAATTAGAAATTGATTTAACAAATTTAGAATGGCAAAAATTTGTATATCACATGATTACAAATCACATGAAATCTTAGAATCTTATTGGTTACTTGATATATCCTAATAATCTCCAAAAGGGTACAGATTTGAAATTTTGTAATATTTCTGGTATAGATTAACAGTCTAAGGCATATTACCAGACTGTATAGGTCGTACATTCACGACTGGCTAGAGTAAGCTTTCTGCTAGGATCTGAGTCTTGTTAGGCCCTTGGTTGAAATACTGGAAATAGAATTTTTTTTTTTTCGAACACTTATACTTAATTTTTTTTATTATTCATTTTACTTAGTTAAATATTAATATTTTATTTTTATTTATTTATATCATATACTTATTTTTATTTCGACCCCAAAAAAAAAAAAAAATAAATAAATTTTTTTTTCTTATTATTATTTAGCTTCGAAATGACAACTGTTATAGAAATATTCTTGTAGAAACTAACTGAAACAAAACCAGCTGATGTTATTGTCGAACCTCTTCTTTACAACCATAAGGATAAAACTAGAACAAAAGTTTACCTAATCTATCAAGCTCTAAGAAATATGGCTAGGCTAAGAAACCATGATGATGGCCATTTGAAAACTCTTACTTATGCTTACTATTTAAGAGAACTTTTAGAAACCAAACCAAAAACTCCAGCCCAATGAACAATATTGGTAAATAGGTTAACCAAACACTATGAAATAGCCTTGACAAGAGTCTATAAAATTGTCTCTTAATATGGAATAGAAGCCATCTACAGGACTAAATTCTTGAACTTAACAAGCTTTAAGAAATTAACTTCTACCGACTGTGTCTTTCTTTGCTAAGTTCTCATAGAATTCGAAAATAAGTCTGAAAGAATGTTAACCTACAAAAATGACTATAACTCTTGAACCACTGGACAGAATTCGATGAAACCACCACCATTCGAATCAGCTCATTGAGACAGTTCTAATGAGGTATAGATCATCTATTTCTGATCACAGGATCACAAGATCGAATCTGATAACCAAATTAATAAGGAAGCTGCTATCTGATTGGTTGATGATAACTGTGCGAAATATCATACATATAACATATATCAAATTTATGTGATTTGAAACATCTATATTTTATATTATATTTAGTTTATATATATTATTTAGTTTATTTCTTTTATTTATTTTATATATCAAGCATATCTTATTTATTTTATTAATAGTAGTTGTAAAATATCTTATATATATAAAAGATATAGGCCATTACATTTACTATGTAGCCAAAAAGTATAAAAGTGACAGATGTGGACCCAAGTTCAACATCGAGTCTTCATACTCTTTCACTAATGGACTACTATTTTATAATACTCAAAATAAACAGTTATTAGTATCCTTATATACTTTGAGAATAGACGAGCTGCGTAGCAGTGAAGTCTATTTACAATTGGAATGAAACTTTGGAGGAATCCAAAAGATACTGTTATGTGGCCGTCTTGGCCCAAATTGGCTTTATTTGTAGATTATGCCTTTATATACATTTATACAATGATGCATTATCACGTGATACTGACTATAAATTACTGATTTTCCTTACTCTACATATACCTTAGCCATGAAAGACCTTTTTTAAATTGCAAACTTCTCACTTCTCTTTGTTTTTTTTTTTGCATTATTCCTATGATTATTATTATTCTTAGTTGGGTGGGGGATGGGTACAGTATCTTCTGGATTCCTCCAAAGTTTCATTCCAATTGCGAATAGACTTTGCTTCTATGCAGCTCGTCCATTCTCAAATTAGAACTCCACTTAAGAGTCATCCATCCGATACTGTTATTTTGTAGCTATATTGCTTCTAATTGATACTACTTAAAAGTAGTGTATCTACCACCAGAGATGGAATTGTCTCTTCTGGCCTAAAATAATGTCTTTTAAATGTCAATGATCTAGTCCATACTGCTGATTTTATAATTAATTCAACACTTATGTCTTTCTCTAATGCAGTTGTAGCTGCTATACTACTTGTTGAGTGTGGTTTGTATAAATTAACATTAATGTTCACCTTTTTAAATGTTTCTTTTATCCAATTTCCCAAAGTTTCTTCTTTTGCAGAAGTGTATGGTGATCTTAAACTTAGAAATAATTTTTGTTTTTCTGGTGGTTTAGAGCAATCTCACTTGTTCTCCTTAATAGTTCTACAGTCAAATAGACTAGGCATATCTCTTTATCTTCTTTGAATGCTGGTATTTTATCTAATCTTTTAAGATCTGCGCCTTTGGGTTTTGTTGCTATGAATAAAACCAAATCTGGCCAATCTGCTTTCTCTTTGAAACATATTGATTGTCTAAATATACGACCCAAGTCAGATCTTGGTCTCCACATGGTTATGATTGCCAAGATCATCAATGTTCTTTTGTTTAGTTCTCGAAGAGTCAGAGATTCTATTGTTTCTGATGTTTTCAATGAGATCAATATATCCATTATCTCCCAATGAGGAGGCTGCTTGTCTCTTGGTGTTTCATCTAACTCTTGTTTTGCTTTAAATATATGTCTGATTTTCTCACACTCTGAAATTTTTAGTTCTTTTCTAGTCAATGAAATTGCTGATCGATAGGCCTTTAGTAAATTTAATGATACTGTCTGCACCATATCAGCTAAGAAATTTATTACTGTTACTATATTACCTTTCCAAGGATCCACATTCCATTCACTGCACCAATTTTCAAACTTTTTCCAATTGCTCTCGTAATTCCTCTTTGTTTTCTGTCTCTCTGATTGTTCCAATAATTTAATAGTTTTCTCTGAAAATCCTTGATCTTTCCAATTCTTGCGGATATAAGCCATGCGATGTGATTCTATCGTGATGGATTTAGCATGTTCGGTGGCAGTTTCAGGTGTATGAACAGATTCAATCTGGCCCTCAATATTATTGAATTCTTGATGGACATCTGCAAAGCTTTGCAAACCACTGTTGTGATGGCCATCTCGGAGTTATCAAAACTAGTTTCTTTACCTATTGTCTTTTTATTTCCTGAAGTACCTTTGGAATTAATTTCCAAGGTGGGTTCACATATGCTGTTGTTTTGTCCCACTTCTGTTGAAATGCATCAGATCCTTCTGCCTCTGAGTCCTGCATTTTGCTGAAGAATCAATTCGTCTGATTTGTCAATCTCGAGGCAAACAGATCCAATTTCACTTTGTGAAATATCTTCTGAATCTCTTTGAAAATCACAGAATTCAGCATCCAGTCATTCCGATCTATTTTCTGTCAGCTTAGAGCATCTGCTTGTATATTCTTTCTTACTGGAATATATTCTGCTTGAAGATTGATTCTGTAATTCATACATATATCCCAAATCTTCTGTGCTATTGAATTCAGACGTGGAAACTGAGTTCCTCCTTGTTTGTTGATATATGATCAAGCTGTCATGTTGTCTGTCCAAACCCTTATTGACTGGTTTCTCCATCTTTTGCTGTTTATTTTGATCAGAAATGCAATTGTCCTCAGTTCTCTTATGGTTATTGACTCTTGCAATTCTTGTGTCATCTAGTATCCAAATGTTTTCATTTTCTGTGTTGTGATGCCCTATCTCATGTTGGGTGCATCTGTAAAAGCTTCTTCTGTCGGTACTAGAATCAGTATTGCTCTGCCATTTCAGTCCTCCAGTGATGTCAGCCACCATTCTAACTCCTTCTTTGCTAATTCTGACAATCCACTTCTACCTTCCAAGAGCCTCATTTCAGGGCTTTGTTCAGATCAAACATCAAGTTCCTGTATTTTAGTTTTGCTGGCAGAACCGCTTCTGTTGTTGTATTCAAGAGACCAATCACTGATGCTAGCTTCCTCAATGGTAAAAAGTTCTTTCTCAACATTGATCTGATTTCCTTTTTCAACTTCTTTATTTTTTTCTTTGGCAATTTTATTTCCATCAAATTTGTATCTATTATGAATCCTAGAAACTCCTGTTGTCTGGTAGGTATCATGTGACATTTCTTCTTGTTCAGAATGAATCCCAAATTTTGTAATTGATTCTTCACTAGTCTGGTATGTCTGTTGAACTACTCCTTTGTTCTGGCAATTAGTAGAATATCGTCTATATAGCATATCACTTGAATCTCTTGTAAGTGCAGAGGTGTTAAGGCTGCTGTCATAACTTTCGTGAACACTCTCAGTGCACACATGATGCCAAATAGCATTACTATGAACTTAAATGTCCTTCTCTTCTATTCGAAACCCAACTATGAAGTTGATCTTTGACTTAGAGGGATATGAAGGTATGCATCCTGTATGTCCAATTTCGTCATCCAATCTCCTGTATGAAGACTCTCCTTCACTGTACATATCGTTGTCATCTTGAAATGTCTGTATAGTATCGCATTGTTCAAGTCTCTTACATCCAGAACTGCTCTTTTCTTTCCCTCTTTCTGTTTTATTACAAATAGGTTCGATTTCCATAAAATTCCATCTGTATTCTTCACCTCTCTTATTGCTTTCTTCAATTTGAATTCCTCTATTGCATCTCAGATCAGTTGCTCATCTTCCTTTCTCTCTTTTCTTTTGTAATGAACCTTGCTTGGATGGTGTTTCAGGTTCAGATCCAAACCCTTTCTTATTATACTTATCACCTATTGATCCTTTGTTAACTTTTGCCAATTTTTTAAGAATTCTTAAAGCCTTCGACCTGGTTGAATTTTCTGGATCTCTCTCTTCTTCATTCCTCTCTGTTCTGTATAGATCTTAAGGTGTTGTAGTTTGGGAGACTTCTTGTGTCTCTGAATTGACTGAATCTTCTAACTGTTCCACGATATGTGCCCGAGGTGAACCTATTACATGACCCTCTGCCTCTTCCTGAATTTTGAGTCTGTGTTTCTAACCTAAGCTTACCTTCTGCCAATCTACTGTTGTTTTTTGCAAATTTAGCTTCTTGACAAATGACTTCTCTAATTTCGAACCCAAATAACCAGCCGGTGTCTTCTTCGTTATTAATTGACTCGCAAGCTTCGATGAGTTTTTTGTTTCAATTCGCTAATTTTGCCAAGTTTTGCCTTCTATAGACCCTGATACGTTCTGCTTCATGTTGTAGTAAGTAGATAGAGTCTTCTATTCTACTAACTAATTTTAATCTTAATTCACTGTTTATGAAATGTTCTGGGACTCCAGACTCTTGAACTACATCCAATAGAGCTAGTGCTGCTAGTAATGGTCTTTCTGCTAACAAAAAACCTTTTTGATATGATTCAAACTCCTTATCATTCTTTTCTGTCTCTCATGAAAAAATTTTTGCAAACTCTGAATCTATGCTTTGTGGCTTTAAAAAATCTCCCTTTGGTTCAGAGTTTCTTGATAGAATACTCCTTACTGTTCTTCTTGATAAAAACACATCTAACCTGCAACTCTTAATAATTTTCTTTGCTGATATTGAAATTTCCCATAAACCTTCCTTTCTTGTCTCTTTACGCAAAATGTATAGTCTTTCTGGTTCTATCTTCCTTAAACCTGTTGACTCCTTGTTGTCCTTCTCTGATTCTAACTCACTTGCTTCTGAAGCATTTCCTTGTTTCTAAGCTAATGTTAGGACGATCTTCTCTAATTTGTCTAGTAGGTATGCTTCCAATTTTTTCTTCTCTTGTTCTCTTTGCTTCTGCCTTCTTTCAAGTTCTTCTACTACTGTTGCTAAGTCAAAGAGCAAATTATTTGCTCCTTCTTGTTCATTCATAGATTTAGTCACTTCCTAAAAGATTGCTAAATCTCTGTCTAAAGTTGGACCAACTTGGGCTTGAAACGGCTAAGGTATACATAGGGTAGGGAAAATCAGTAATTTATAGTCAGTATCATGTGATAATGCATCATTGTATAAATGTATATAAAGGCATAATCTACAAATAAAGCCAATTTGGGCCGAGACGGTCACATAACAGTATCGAATGGATGACTTCTAAGTGGAGTTCTAATTTTAATTGTAGCCTCTTTCGCAATTGCAAATTGCCTTAAATCTTCTTTGTTAAGTTTTCTAAAATAAAACACCTTCTGACTTAGTTATAACACAGTAACAAGTGAGGTTACAAAAAGTGTTCACTGTCTAAGGTCACTCTAGTTATCTACTATCTTAAAAGAAGTAGATATAGGATAACAATATTTACTATTTTCAACTATATTTTTTATATTATTATTATAGTAATTACATGCTTTTTGTATATAATTTAAATAAACTATATAATTTTTTGTAAGTTCTACTTTTTTTCAAATTATATGATATGTTGAATATTCATTTTATTATTTCACAAATTTCACACAATCTAATTTTGGAGACATAAATTAAAGTAATAGTATTAAAGCTTTTCAAATATTGATAAAGGTAGATTCAGTCATAACATAAGTATCTTCTTTATATTTAATTTTGTAAGTCTAAGCATAAATGTAACTAGTTAAAAAAAACATAATTGGTATAGAAATTTTACTAAAATATTATCTAGGTAAATACATGCCATGTATATTAAAGTAATTTTTTTTAAAATTTGATAAATATTATATATTATATTATAATTTAATTCAATATAACTCATATTTTTTGAAGCTTTACCAGTATTATTATATATATGTTTTTTAAAATCATTTTTTTGAAAATGTTTAATTATATTTTCTAAATATTTTTAACTAATACCAACAAAAGCTAAATATTTATTATGATATATTATAATATCATTATTATAGTAATAATTATAATGCCAACACTGTCTATTATTACTAGTATTTTTTTTTGTATTTTTTTTTTTGAAAAGCTAATAATTGTTTTTTAATAATTATATCTTATATTTTTTTGTCTAGGCTTTCAAATTCAGACCAACATTTAAAAAATCAATTATATCAAATTTGTTTAAAACAAAGTTGTTTAGTAGAATAATATGAATATTTTTTAAAAAAAATTTTTATTTTTGATTTTAATTCATCATATATTTTATCTTCAATATAATCATCAGAAATATCTATGAACTCTAATTTATTTAATTTACTTAAATTAAAATTATCATTATCAATATCAAGTAATTTATAATTCAAGTTTTTATAATCTAATTCTTTATTGTTCAGTTCTTTTTCATTCAGTTTTTCATTATCTAATTCTTTATTGTCTAATTTATTATTTTATTTTTTATTTTTTGAATCTGAATATTCAACAAAATAAATATTGTCTAAATTTTTTAAAAATATTAAAATAATTTCATTTGTATTATTATTATTAGAATATATATTATATTCTATATTTTTATTAGAATAATAAATTTCAAATTGATCAGCTCAAAAAAAAAAACAAAGCAGTAATATGCTTATTATGCAAATGATATTTTCAATTTTCTAATAAAATTGACTAACAACCAGAATTAATTTAATGCCTACAAATATTTTAAAACTTACAAGTTAAGTAAGTAGAATTAAGAATCCTTTATTATGCTCCAGATTGATTATTTAATTATTCAACCTGATCGAATTTAGTTTAATAGAATATCATTTCTATTAGTAATATTGTTTTATAATATAAAATATCAATAATGAATCATTGTATTCATAATTAACTAAATTTAATTATAACAATTTACAAATATCAATATATATATCAATACTGTTAATTATAACATTAACTGTTTATTACTATTACAAATTAATTATCATTATCAAAAAGAGATTGTTTATTATATAATTAATAAACAATTTTTTTTTATAAAAATAAACCTATTAGATAAATAATTATTGTGAAATCTCAAAATATAATTGGCTGTTCTGAAGCATTCTTTTGCTGTGAGGCCTATTATATAATATTATTATTGTAAATTAGAAGAGTGATAGTATTGAACAGTTTAGTTTTAATAGTTAATGTAATACTGTTAAATTATCTAATTATTATTTAAGAAAGTACTATCAGTAGAATTTAATATACTATATTTGGCTAGATCAATAGTAATTAATCAGAAGGGATGATAGTTTACAAATAATCAAAATTGATTTAATTAAGAGTGACATAAATCTTAAAAATTATTTTAAAAGTGATCTAAATAAATAGACATAATAAATAATTAATTTTATCACTAAGTGATTAAGTGTTTAGAATAATATTTTTATAGATTATCTTGCATAAGCATATCAGACTTTATAAACTATACAACTATATAATATATGACTCTTGGTTATTTAGATAAAGGTCTATTCAACCTTAATGCTTACTTTCTTTATATTAACTAAGAGACTCAGTGTATATTTATATGCAAAAACAGTTTAATGTAATAAGAGAATGATTACTTATTAAGTGAAGTTAGATAAATTAATATTCAGAATGATTTAAAAGTGTTAATAAGTTAATTATTTAGAACTTTATTAGTAACTTTCTTTATAACTGGTCCTTTTTTGGAAAGGCAAAAAGAACCTATATTTATACAATTTTATTCACAAAAGCTATACTAAGGAATTATAAAAGTGTTTTGAAATCTTTATGAGCAGTCATTTACTTTTTTATGAACAGTTGCCACATCCATACTATAGTAGCATGAAGCCATACTGCTTATAGTACTAATTTTTATAGCTTATCTGAATATTCAGCTTGATGTTAGCCTCAACTGCTTATTCTAATGTTTATGTACATAGCTACATGGTTCTTAAACATAAACAAGGGTATGAGCAGAACGAATTACAAACAAATAACTATATACAGGTATAACTAAATAATAAAAGACTATATAAATAAATAAATAAAATAAGAAAACTCATGACTTGGAACAGGGTAGGAATCTACAATCCAACAATAGTCTCAAGAATATTTGATCAAACTTTATTGACCAACATTAATCACATGATTAATGAAGTTTATGCTGCGTCATGATTGGCTTGTTTAATTTTCAAGAGACACTGGATGAAGGAACAGTTTATTTTCGACCAATCAGAGCAAGATTAGATGTAAAGTGATGATTAAAACAGCAATTACTCTTTTTGTAAAGTCACATTTATCTCAAAAATTCGACTAAAAAATCACCTTTGATGCACTAATAAAAAAAATTTCTTACAAAATTTTACTATAATCCCGCCCAATAACACTAATACCAGACTCAAACTGAGATGTCACATTTTAAATAATGGTAACATGTAAATTGGTGCGAATAATCTCAACCAATAGAAACTTTGGGGAAAATTAGTAAATGCCATAAAGACAAGTACAAGTCCTGTATCATGTAGCAGTATCACATAATCAGTAAGTACAAATAACATGTAAGTGGGTAGTGCTCATTTCACTGACAATCATTTCACCAACACACCGGTTTAATGACAATTAGTTCACCAACAAGCTTATTTTACCACAATAATTTTACTAACATTTAATTCACCAACATGTTTATTTTACTGACATGTTTAATACACTGACAATCGATTTACTGACAATCATTTCACTGATATGTTTATTTTACTAACATTACGTTTTACCGACAATACTTTTCACCAACAATACTTTTCATCGACAATACTTTTCACTGACAATATTTTTTACTAACAATATTTTTTATTAACAATACATTTCATCAACAAGTTTAATTAATTTACAAACTAGCAATTCAATTCACCAATAATCTTATAATAATTAAGATTGTAACAAAAGAATTTTAACATTAGAAATCTAAATAATAACTGAGTAACTATGAAATAAGTTTAAGACTTATTCAGCAACATAACCTGTATTATGACTGATTCAAATTATATAAAAAAAAAAATAGAATTATTTAATCAAAATAAAAATAAAAAAAAATAAAATATAAGGAAAAGTCAGATATTCTGATGTGGGGGATAAAGTAGTGTATTGAAGTTTTTTTAAAGTATTTCATAATACAATAACCAGAAATGACTGATTTTAATACCATTTAATTTGCCTTATTAAAATGAATCAAATGGTATTAAATAGAACTCTTGGAAACTCTTAGTTACAAAATTCAAGCAACATTAATAAAAAAATATTAAAAATTAACTAAAGTGTATTCAGCACATCTAGCACCTCTTAAAAATCTGCTTTATTTAGTAATTTATTATTGTATTATTGATTAAACATTGAACTCAGCCAATTATAAAGTTTATGCAGTATGTAGATATTATTATATTTGTAAGTGTGCCAACATTCCCCACCTAATAAAAATAATAATTAAAAAGTCACTTTCAAAAAAGTTGCAATAAACAAATTTTTCTATGTAGTAAAAATACCTTTTTTTTTACTATTGGATAGCCAAGCATTAAATAAGTTGGTTAAATGAACTTTGTAAATAAATATTAAATTATAAATTTTAATTGGCAGCACAGTTTAGATGTGCCAGAATACCCAAACCTCCCTTAAAGTAACTGAAACCAAAACTGATTTGTGCAATATAAAGTGAACAAATGAAAACTTGATTTGAATTATATAAAAAAAAATTAGTATTAGTGTAGAATTAGTAAAGGAGAATAAAACATTTATTCGAAAAAAAGTACTGCAATTTGACTTGCAAGCGAATACTTGATTTGATTATGTCAAAGAAGAAAAAAAACTAGGGTTAGTAAGAAAAAAGAATTATTTATCAAAAAAAAAATAATAAAGTAATGCAAACCTAATTTGATTTGTACAAATAGTGCAAGCAAAGATTTAATTTCAATTATACCAGGAATGAAGTATGAAATATTAAGAGTTGGATTCATGAGCAAGTTAAGTGGTGTCTCTTTTTTATCTGATTGGTTGATCTAATCTCGTGACTTAATCTTGAGGTCTTTATATTTATATTTTAAAAAAAAAGCAAATTAG